AAAATCTTTAAAAAAAAAAAAAAAAAAAGAGAAAAATGAGGCAGTGGAAAAGGCCATGGTCACCAACACTGAAATTAGTGATTGTCTTTTGTAGAATAGCTACTATTGACTATACAACAGTGAATATGCTAAAAAATATATATCAACTCACCTATTTTTCACAGCAATCCTCTTAGGCAGGTGGTATTATGCTTACTTTACAGCTCAAGAAACAAACTAAGTGAAGTGAAGCGACATGCCAAGGTCACACAGCAGGTAAGTCACATAGACTTTAACTCCAAATCTCATGCTCTTACTCGACACCTTAATAATCTCCAAGTTGAGTCCTCTACTTCAAGAGATGAATAAACAATCTACTGAGGCATGGGGAAAAAAATCAGAATTTCTACTTATGTCTCTTTTTAACATCCTCACTTCTATTTTTGTGTTTCATTGACATAATGTGTCATAATAAATATATATTTGGCCTTTGTTCCCAGTTCCTGGCACAGAGCTTCTAAAACCCTTGTAATTTCCTGAGTGATAAGGGGTGATTAGGAGCTGCTTTTGTTTTCCTGGCACACAGTTCCTAAAAGCCTTGGAATCTCAGAGTGTCTTTTGTATGCTGAGATGACTGGTGGCTGGGAGCTCCTACATAGCTTCAGAATAGGGACTGGTTGCCAGAAAGACCAAGGCATGACTTCAGCCTCCCCGACCCACCACATCAACCTCCAGGGAGGGGAGAGGAAAGGAGAGGAGCTGGAGGTTGAGTTCAATCACCAATGGCCAACCCGGTGAACACATCGAGGTGCTAGGAGGGTGGCACACCCAGAGAGGGCATGGAAGCTCTCTCACCCCATACCTTGCCCTATGCATCTCTTCCATTTGGCTGTTCCTGAGATGTATTCTTTCTAATAAACTGGTAATAGTATGTAAAGTGTTTTCCTGAGTTCTGTGAGTCATTCCAGCAAATTATTGAACTTGAGGAGGGGGTTTAGGAACCTCTAAATATAGTCAATCAATCAGAAGTACCAGTGACAACCTGGAACTTGTGAATGGTATCTGAAGAGGGGGCAGTTTTGTAAGACTGAGCCCTTAACCTGTGGAGTCTGACGCTAACTCTGGGTAGTTAGCATCAGAAGTGAATTGTTGAACACCCAATTGGTGTCCAGAAAAATTAAAGAATTGGTTGTTAGTGCTGGAATAGACTACATATAACATGACAATAATACATATACGTGATTTATAATTAAATACACATAATTTGGGGGTTGTATTACAATTAGATTTAGCTGCTATAATAAAATCCAAAATAACAGTGACTTAAATAATATAGAGGCTTATTTCTCTCACCTACAGTCCAAGTGTAAGCATTCCAGGGCTAATATATCAGCTCCATGGTGTCAGAGCGTAGGCTCCTACTTATCTTATTGCTCTACCATCCCTGGTATTGCCCTCATTCACAAGGTCCAATGACTCACCATCACATCTACATTCCAGAAGAAGGGGTGTAGGGGAGGAAGACAAATCCTCTACCCTCTGGGTCCTTATGGCTGGGCTAGGAATTAAATTGACATGAGACAGAATAACAGGAGAAAAATCAAACAAGTTTAATAACATGTATGTACACATGGGGGAAACCCAGGAAAAACGTGTAACTCGCCAAAATGGCCAAGGTTGACATCTTAAATACGATCTTCAGCTAAAGACAAAGGAGGATGTTGGGGGTAGGGGGAGTCAGTTATGGGAGAGTACCAGAAAAGCACAGTAAACAAGAGTAAGGTTATTATGCAGATTTAAGTCTTTGCCTTCCACACTGATAAGAGTTTCTAGAGATAAGGTCATCCTCCCTTCTTCCTGGTACAGACAGGGAGATACCTTTATAAATGGAGATTTCCCTCACAAACGTAAATGTCCCTTACAAAGGGTAACT